AACAAGTTTTTTGTAGACGACCTTTGTTCCGTTTGCGTCCTTAAGGAATAAGGTAAGAAGTGAATGTTCTGAGATTGAAAGAGTAGGGTTTTGTGTGATGCTACTATTTTTGACTTGTTTAAGGGCAGATACAAGTCCAAAATATTTTAAAGGTTGGAATTGACAATTATATTTTTCAATAAAATCTGTGTGGGAAAGGAAGTTATTTGTTGTTCTTTCACAAAATCCTTTACCTTTGAAATTCCTAGAGAAAAGAGGGTTTTATCGAAGACTGACTTGTTTTCGATCCTAATTAGCGAATTGTGCCATATGGGTTGCTCAAGAAAATGTTCCTTGGTTTTAACAACTTCTTCAAAATTGACTTCACACCATATTTCTAGCAGCTCTCTTGTAAAGTTGTTTTTAACTGATATTGTCTTGAGGGAGTCAGACTTGTTAAGGTTGCCCCTAAAGATAAGATTTCCGCCATATTTTTCAAGATCAAGCTCGACAAATTCTTTCCACTTTCCGTGGTTTGATGTGTCAAGGTATTTACGTATCCAAGAAGTCTTAAAAGATTTATTGAAAGAACTTAAATCGACCATTTTTAGTCCGCCATGATCAAAAGACCACTCAAGGGAGTCGAAAGCGTTTTCGAAGTCGATGAAAAGTAACATTGAGAGAGGCTATAATAGGAGTAATGCTTCAGCAAAGATAAGCCCCGTTAGTGTCTACCAAGGTCTAGCTAGGTCTAGTCTATGACGTCACCGATTGTTATAACCTGTGGAAAAAGTGGATTCCCTTTATGTGTCTTCCTGCATACTAATTTGGATTTCCTGCATACTAATTAAGTGTCTTCCTCCATATATAATGAAGTGGATAGGTTTACTATTGAGCGTCACTCTACTACAATAGGAACAATAGGCCGGCCCAAACTTGCTCGGGCTCTTTTAACCCTGATTGGCTCATGTAGAATCTATTATGTGTTTAACATAAAAGCGCGCTCTCCGTTCAGCATTTCATTCTTGTAATCGCTTTGCTAAGGAAAAAGTCTTACTATCACCAATATTTTTTAAAACATTGCTCCAAGCATGCAAGTCCAATCGAGCTGTAAACTCTTTATTTCAAGTGTGTCTGACTGTTACAGAACTGTTTTCTCCTATCTCGAGGAAATGAAAAACTGTTGAAGTCTTGTCATTTTCACGCACGGTTAATCAGTTAATTGTGCGAGTTCACAAGCCCAAAGTTGAATACAAATTAGCTCTACGGGAAAAACCTCAAGGGAGCACTTTGACGTATTATTATAAAACAAATAACTTAACAAGGATCAATTAAAACACGCGACTTATAATTGCTAGCAATAAAACCAGACAAGAGATACAGTTTTAAAAACTTTATTAAAAACACAAAAAGAGTCAAATACACAGCGATAATTGATTAATCTTCATCTTCGTTCTCCTCTGTAGAAGGGGAATAGATATTGGTTTCCAACGTCTTCGCGTTTTTGTGTGTAACTGCTCCGCAATCGTGACATCGAAGAAAGCCCTCTTTCATGTAATGTCTCCCCTCGGGAATCTGGTGATCGCATATAGGACAAATCTTGTAGTAATCGTGCCAAAGGCATTTAGGACATTTCATGATCAATGTCCCGTACATATTAGAGTTCTCGCAGTGTTCACAGGGACTTTTGGAGTGAAAGGTGGTGGACGTTTCAGGGTTACTACTTTCTATCTCCTGACTGTCGTTTTCAGTGTCGTTGTCGCTCTCCTGGATGCCTTCAGCTTCAGCGCCATTCTCAGAAGCCACTTCCTCCTCCTGATTTTCAATATCCAATGAACTCTCCTCATTATTAGTCTCGTTATCGGAAGTATTTTCTACATTTTGGTAGCCTTTTTCCTTTTCTATTAAATCACTTAACAACTTTTTGTTCTTGATTAAACCTCTATCTATCCCTAATTTCGTAAGTCCATCTAGAAACGTATTCAGCGCACGAGGCTTGGTAACTTCATTGTTATGAGGGAGTAACACATACTCAACTAGCTCAGCGATGTTTGTGACGGGAATAGTGCTTTATTTCGAAGTAATTGTCCGCTGGGGGTCCAGAAAAGAATATCTTTGGACGCGGCCATACTATGCAGCAAATCAGAAGCACGCTGTTCCGGCACTGCTCGGGAAAGATGACTCAAAACATCTTTTATTCTTGGTTCTTCATCCTCGCTTTCATCACCAGAACTTTCGCTTTCTTCATGTTCACTCTCGTGATCTTCTTCTTCAACCAAATCTATCTTTCTCTTCATTTTGATGAGTACCCGTGACAGACTAGGCTTCGAATGATCAACCTAGCGATGTGTCACCTCTTTTATAGCATTAGAAATCCTAAGCTTGAAACGACAGGGGCTAATACATCTTCAATAAAACCACTACCCTCTTGAACAAGGACTCGCTTCTTTGTTTTGAAAGAGACATTTGGACTGGTCAGGTTAAGTAAAGCATCCTTATATGGCAGCAATACCCGCTTATTTTCTTCGGAGATAGGAATGTGTCCCATGAAGAAATTGTATAAGACTTGGACTAGTGCATGAAGTTGCTGTGGTGTAGCTGTCTTTAAAAGAAACTGGCGCTGATAAGCAGGGCAAGCAGCTAACAGCTGAAGAAAACCACGATTGTTGTTCACTACACGAGACATTGCTACAAAATGAACTAAGAATGGCAGTTGGTAGTCTTTTATAGAATCTGGCGGAGGGAAAACAATAGAAATGTGGTGGTGGTGGAGGGAAAACAATAGAAATGTGCTGGTGGTGGTGGTGGAGGGGAAACAATAGAAATGTGGTGGTGGTGGTGGTGGAGGGAAAACAACAGAAATGTGGTGGTGGTGGTGGTGGAGGGAAAACAATAGAAATGTGGTGGCGGTGGTGGTGGTGGAAAGAAAAACAATAGAAATGTGGTGGTGGTGTAGGAAAAATAATAGAAATGTGGTGGCGGCGGCGGTGGTGCTGGTGGTGGTGGTGGTGGAGGGAAAACAATAGAAATGAGGTGGCGGTGGTGGTGGCGGTGGTGGTGGAGGAAAGAAAACAATAGAAATGTGGTGGTGGTGGTAGTGGTGGTCTTGGGGGAGGAAAACAATAGAATCTTGTGGCCTGAAAACCTATATAAATGCGCAACATTCTACCTCTTTCTCAGTCTACATTTTGCTCCTGAGGAGTTGACATGAGTTGGTTCTGTTCTGTCTGCGAAAAATCCTTTAGTAGAAAAGATAGTATGCAAAGGCACGTGATGTCTAAACACCGCAATGCTGGTCTCACCCCATTTCAAACAGTTCCAATACTTTCACAGAAATGTCAGCGGTTTCGCTTCGAGCATCCTTTCACCTCCATGATTGCCGGAATGACCGGGTCCGGAAAAACGGCCTGGGTTCGATCGCTATTGCAACAAGCTTCAGAGACCATTTACCCTCCCCCGGAGAGGATCGTTTGGTGTTATTCACAATGGCAGCCTGCGTATACACAAATGTTAGTCGCCATGCCAAACATTGAATTCGTCAAGGGAATTCCTACGGCTTTGGAGCAAGATTCCTATTTTGATGTGAACAAACGGAATTTGATCGTGTTTGATGATCAGATGATTGACGCCAGTAAAGACAAGCGAATTGTGAACCTCTTTACTCGTGGTTCTCATCATCGCAATCTGAGCGTGATTTATATCGTGCAGAATCTATTTCATCAGGGGAAAGGTAGCCGCAGCATAAGCCTAAACAGCCATTATCTGGTGTTATTCAAGAATCCACGAGACAAATTGCAAATCTTGACTCTGGCGAAGCAAATGTATCCCGGGCAGACTGATTTCTTTTTAAATCAGTACGAAGAGGCTGTAAAAAGACCTTTTGGTTATTTTCTGATTGATCTGAAAACTACTACCCAAGATAATTGTCGGTTGCGAACAAACGTCCTGCCCAGTGAAGAAGGCTTTAACCAAGCAGGGTTTCAAGAAAATATTCCTCAAGAGCTTCTAAAATATCTGAAGCAGCAAACTCTTTCGCCTGTCCCGCTTCTTCCAGCTATGCAAGAAATACAAGGCAACATGGATGACGTGCTTTCTCGAAACGATCTTCGGGACGATGAAAAAGCTAAACGATACCTTCAGTTGCAAAACAGATACCTGGCTTTTAAAGAACAATTAAATACAAGAACACGACCGGAAGAAATAATCAGCACTGTTCCAGACTTAACATCAAGGACACAAGATTCTTCGACAGCAACGACAGCATTCTCGACTCCCCTCAACCCCTTTAATGTAACACCTGAATTAACACAAGCGGCTATCTCTCAAAAACCTGACAAAGAAAGCCTCACCCCTCCACCACCCTTAAATCCTGCTTTCCTGACCCCTCCTCCCACAGTAGAAACCCCATCACAACAAGGCCCGAAGCGCAAGAGGCGTCGGATTCAATTTCTAAATTATTTGGATGATCATAAATCTCATGGCAAACAGCTGAAGAAACGTCGGCATAAGAAATTCAAACCTTACAAGTACTCCATGGGCGAAGATGAAGATTAATTAATTTCCATTCCTGTGTATTTGACTCTTTTTGTCATTTTTTTAATAACGTTTTTTAAAACGGTATCTCTCTTGTGTTTTTATTGCTAGCAATTATGAGTCGCGTGCTTTAATTGATCCTTGTTAAGTTATTTGTTTTATAATAATACGTCAAGATTCTCTCCCTTGGGTCTTTCCTGTTGAGCTAATTTGTATCCAACTTTGGGCTTGCGAACTCGCATAATTAACTGATTAACCGTGCGTGAAAATGACAAGACTTCAATAGTTTTTCATTTCCTCGAGATAGAAAGGGGAAAACAGTTCTGTAATAGTCAGACAAGTTTACAGCTCGATTGGACTTGCATGTTTGGAGCAATGTTTTAAAAAATATTGGTGGTAGTAAGACTTTTTCCTTAGCAAAGCGATTGCAAGAATGAAATACTGAAGGGAAAGCGTGCTTTTATGTTAAACACATAATATATTGTTTAGGCCGGCCTATTGTTCCTATTGTAGTAGAGTGACGCTCATTAGTTAACCTATCCACTTCATTATATATGGAGGAAGGCACTTAATTAGTATACAGGAAATCCAAATTAGTATGCGGGAAGGCAGTGACAAGGCACTTAATTAGTATGCAGGAAGGCACTTCTTTCCGAGGTGACGTCATAGACTAGGCACTTATCCATATCAATGATTTACCTATCCCTAAGCTATTCTTACCTATGCACCAACGAGGCTTATCTTTGCTGAAGCCCTACTACTTATAGTGATTGCGTTATTGTCTTCCAATAGCGGCCTCGATGTTCGTGACGTTTAAGCGGAATCTATAAGAGCGTTATCGAGATATTTTGGAATGACATTTTCGTGGTTAGAAACACGGTAAAAAATGGACGATATTATTGTTTGGCCGTTATCTGTAGAAAATCGAGCGCTTTTTACATGCAATTTCACGCCATAGTAGTTTCAATCTTTTTAAAAACGTGTGTGAAAGATCATGGAGATAGCTCCAGCCGATTGCTAGAAAGAAGGGTTTTATTATCATGTATCGAAGCGCTCTTGTTAGCGGTTTTGTAAACATTTTGGTCTTCTTTAACAAATTAGCGAATGGTTTTTGAACTGCTCGATAGATTTTTTTTAAAATTTAAGATTCTTGAGATTAACCTTTCTTTATTTTAGTTTCAAGATTATTGATATATTGTAAGGCAGTAAAATAAGGGCTACAATTCGTTACATTTTTAGCGGAAGTTTCGTTGTTACAAGTGAAAGCCTCTCATTATTCAAGGCATTGTCTCCAAGTTTCATTTCCACGTGAACAACAGTAACTAACAATGCATTTGACATATGCAAAAATGCTAGCTATTGTTATGCGCGAAAATATGAAACTTGGAGACAATACCCTGAATAATGAGAGGCTCACATTTGCAGACACAAAATTTCTGCCAAAATATTGGCGAATTGTAGCCCTTATTTTACTGCCTTACAATAGATCAATAATTTTGAAACTAAAAGGTCATATAAAGGGAAGGTTAATCTCAAGAATCTTAATTTTTTAAAAAAATCTATCCAGCGGTTTAAAAGTTATTCGCCAATTTGTTAAAGAAGACCAAAATGTTCAAAAACCGCTAACAAAAGCACCTCGATACATACTAATCAAATTCTTCTTTCTAGCAATCGGCTGGAGCTATCTCCACGGTCTTTCACCCACGTTTTTAAAAAGATTGAAACTACCATGAGGTGAAATTGCATGTCAAAAGGGCTTCATTTTCTACGATAACAGCCGAACATCAAGATTATCCATTTTTTACCGTATTTCTAACCACAAAATCTTTATCCCAAAATATCTCGATAACGCTCATACAGATTTCGCTTAAACTTCACGAACATCGAGGCGGCTATTAGAGGAAAAAGCTCCCGTGAATGATTTTGAAAGAACAGTTCCCAGTGCCGAGAAATACTTCTGTAAGTAAAATAGGTAATGGCGTCATTTCGTTGCTATGACAACTCCGATGTCATTGCAAACCTGATCATAACAAATTTTCATCTTTATCTAATACAACTGTGGTGGCAATTTTTCCAAAACTTTGTTTATGGCGACGTAGTTTATGCTCAAACTTGGGAGGTACTGGCCTTGAAAAACTGTATCGAGCCACCTTAATAGAAGGTGAGAAAGCTAAAGCTGTTAGTTGATAATTTGCATACTGCTTAGGTTGATAATATTTTGCAAATTTAAAAGTGATATCGTACGCAGTGAAGATATTTTTAAGACAAATTGTGACCTCGAGTATGAAATTCTGATAGTAAACGTTTAAGGAAAAAAAGATAAAATGTAAGGGAAAAAACGCAGANATCTTTATCTAATACAACTGTGGTGGCAATTTTTCCAAAACTTTGTTTATGGCGACGTAGTTTATGCTCAAACTTGGGAGGTACTGGCCTTGAAAAACTGTATCGAGCCACCTTAATAGAAGGTGAGAAAGCTAAAGCTGTTAGTTGATAATTTGCATACTGCTTAGGTTGATAATATTTTGCAAATTTAAAAGTGATATCGTACGCAGTGAAGATATTTTTAAGACAAATTGTGACCTCGAGTATGAAATTCTGATAGTAAACGTTTAAGGAAAAAAAGATAAAATGTAAGGGAAAAAACGCAGACGCATAAGAATACTGGCAACAAAAACTGGGAAAAGAATCATAACAAACATGAAGCCGCTTAAAAAAACCCTATCGATCTTTGGTCTTAGTGAAAGCTAGGCACTATAAATCGCTCGATGAAAAAAGCATGGAAGGTGCTGGCCAGTCCGCCTAGGATAACGTAATAATTAGTGCATAAATACAACAAGAAAATTTTACTCATCTGATTCATTGTCTGTTACTAACGGTTTTCCACTAGGCCAGAATTTGCCATTTATATATAGCTTATCTTGTTTGTTTTTACTGAAAGAGGCTTTCATGCCATTCCGTTTTGCCTTTTTGAAGGTTGGCATCTGATTCTTTCGCCTTTTAATGATTTCTTGTTGAAGATCTCTAAACATCTGGAAAACAGTTCCTTCAAGGCGTCTTCCCAAACTGAATATGTCTTCCACATCCTTGTAGCGAAGGAACCTGGCGATTATCGGGCGAGTGCCAGAGTCGACACCACGTCTCGATTCGTCTCGCAATTCGATGGACACGCTGTATTTCAGCTATTCGGGCGTTTCGATATCCCAATTCATTTTCTATAGATCGTTTTCACTGTCACGCAACAAAAAAATAAATTGGAAACCGACCAGTGGAAGGAACCAAGAAAATGAAATGTTATAAAGGACTAACACGTAAACAATTTGTTCAAGTCTCAGGTCTTTGTGGCCCATAGTTTCTGAGTTATTTGGCGAAACGTTTCACGCACCTTTGTAGAGCTCTGTATGGAGACGCCATATTGGTGCACCGTTTTGGTGCACCAATATGGCCGCCGGAAATCAACGAAAACATCTGGAGTTTACTTTTCCTATAAAAGCTCTTTCTTTTCACTCGAGAACTAGCGTGCGTACGCATAAACATATCCTCTAATACTTGAAGTGGTTATATTGCTGAAAATCAAAAGGAGAGACTTTTTTTCAACGACACTGCATTCCTACTTTGGTGTCACGCACTGTGAAAACTCGGAAGTTCAAATTGCTGTATTTTCGAAATGAAACATGCTTCGGGAATGGAAACTTGTACAAAGATTTTCTTTTTGTTTATCTTTAACCTAGTGTAAATAAGAATTCGTAAAACCTCGCTATTTTGACTTTACAATTTGATGACGTCACAATGAAAACCATCTATAAAATTTCTTAGTACTTCCTGGGTGTCCTGCTCTTCTTCTTCGGGGATGGAAAAGAATTTAATGTTCTCGCGCCTTGAGTATGCTTCTAGATAAAGGTTTTTAGAGATAACTTCGTTCATTTGATCCCGTAGCTTTCTTTTGCTTGCCATCAAAGAGTTGATTCTTGAGGAATGTTCATCAACACGATCTTGTAGTTCCTTGCATGTGTTCCCGTTGAAGGTAGTTGACTCTTTTAAATCTTTTATGTCCTTCGCAGCGGTTATTTCGAACTGCTCAAGTTTTGCGGTTCGGGCCTTGAGGTTTGCAAGATTAGCTTCAATGTTTTTAACTGAATTTTCGATTATGTCGAGTTTCTTGACTCTGTCTAAGATCGGCTTCAGTTGTTCCGAGATTGAAGCAATCGTGTCTAGCTTCTCCATCAATTCATCGTGCGAGTCATCTTCGTTGTCGGTGTTGTCATGGGCTATCGCGTCTTTCAATTTTTTGGCCTCAGGAGATGTCGTAGTTTTCTCGTTCGAACTAGCGGAAGATCTATTTCTTCGTTTTCTATGTAGTAAGTAACAATTTCAGCCATGTGTTGTTTGTAATACTAGAGGTAAAAGGCGGACGACAAATAGAGTCGTCCTCACGCGGCCATCACTCGACCCAGTCTCAAAACTCATAAAAGTTAGAGAATTAGAAATATTTTGGAAATGTTCATTGTCTTATGATCAATCCCATTAAGGATTAATTAGCGAGCTTCAAACAACATAATTATTACCGTTGCTGCATGCTGCTTACTTCTCCCTCACTTCGCTGGCTTCTTTCCCCTTGACACAATAACATTCCAGAAATAATTTTGGTGTTGATAGTTTTCCAGGAACAACAATAGATCGTTTTCACTGTCACGCAACAAAAAAATAAATTGGAAGCCGTCCAGTGGAAGAAGCCAAGAAAATGAAATGTTATAAAAGACTAATTTTTAAACAATTTGTCCAAGCCTCAGGTCTTTGTGGCCCACAGTCTCCGAGTTATTTGCCGAAACGTTTCACGCACCTTTGTAGAGCTTTGTATAGAGACGCCATATTGGTGCACAGTTTTGGTGCACCAATATGG